TTCTTCCCTCTGAGGGTGACGGAGCCCTGGCCCAGGCTGCCCAGGGAGGCTGTGGAGTCTCCTTCTCTGGAGATATTCCAGCCCCGCCTGGACGCGGTGCTGTGCAGCCTGCTCTGGGTGACCCTGCTTGGGCAGGGGGTGGGGCTGGGTGACCCACAGAGGTCCCTTCCAGCCCCGACCATGCTGGGATTCTGTGAACACTTACCCATTTCCAGCCATTCCGGCTCACAGTGCGTGCTGCCTGTCGGCCTTTGTGCCTTTGAGTCTTTCACCTAACGAAGTAACTGTGCAATGTATCATAACGACCAGCTGAAATGATCTCTTATGCAAATTAAGTATGCTAGTGAACAGGTAAGGGGCTAATTCTTTAGCATCAACCAAAAAATACCCACTGATGGCATTTTTGATTGCTGGGTAATGTTTTACCCTTTAACTGGATGCTTTTCTGTTTCTTCCTTCATCGCAAAAAACAAATTTGAACACAGCTTAGTTCATCCTCTACTCAGCCCTTACAGTTCAATATAAATTGGAAACTAAGTGCGCTCCGGCCCTTCCAGGTCTGTGGAGACTGCTTCTCAAGCATCCGTGGAGACTGCTTCTCAAACAAGCCTCGAAAATATCGATCTCGCTTTGGAAAGTCAAGTCTCCTTGCTTGCAGTAACACTGGGGTTTGACCTGGTTATCAGCCACGCTACGCACAAACTGTCGTTGATCAGACCATAGGCTATCTATAGGATTAATTTATCACATTTACTACAGTTATTATTACAACAGTATTATTTACTCACATTTATTATACAACAGCCAACAGGCCTCACGTGTTGGCTCCAGCAGGGACGAGAGGTGCCCTTCCTCAGACTTGTGCCCGGCTTGCAGCCCTTTGCTAGCAGCTGGGTGACCTTGCCCGGCCTCCTGCAGTCTCCTTCACGCTCCTCTCCACGCCTCAGAATCCCAGCATGGTGGGGGTTGGAAGGGACCTCTGTGGGTCACCCAGCCCAACCCCCTGCCCAAGCAGGGTCACCCAGAGCAGGCTGCACAGCACCGTGTCCAGCCGGGCTTGGAATATCTCCAGAGCAGGAGACTCCACAGCCCCTCTGGGCAGCCTGGGCCAGGGCTCCATCACCTTCAGAGGGAAGAAGTTCTTCCTCATCTTCAGCTGGAGCTTCCTCTGCTTCAGTTTGTGCCCGTTGCCCCTTGTCCTGTCGCTGGGCACCACTGGAAAAAGTTTGGCCCCATCAAGCCTGTCCCACATGGCAGCGAGGAGCTTTTCCCCATCCCAACACAATCCTCAGCCCCGCTCACGTCTGCAGCAACGTGGAAGTGTACAGGTGGAAAAGCGGAGGCTGGCTTTGTGGAGAGGGTGATGGGATCAGAGCTTCCTCTGTCTCGTGCTGCACAGGAACTTCCCTGGCAGGTATTCAAGGGGGATTCACTTTTATCTCTTGGTTCCAGCTATGCCACCTAGGAAAAAAAAAGCCGTTCTATGAATTTCTGGCATGTTGCTGAGGTCTGTATGTACTGCCCTGGCACAGCAATGTCTCAGCCCACAGCTGAGCACTCTGTATTCCATCTCTGACCTCCTCTGCCTCTCTATCCTCTCTTCCCTTGCACTTCCAGCAAGTCTTATCCCCCATCTCCAGCTCTGCCACACCTCTACTGCCGCTTACCCCTCCATCCTCATTCTGCCTCCATCCTTTTACCCATCGAGGAAGTTTTAATTTAATTTTCATTTCTCACAGGGCCGGGCTTACCAGGATGACAGCCAACAGAATTCCAAGTCGCCCGAAACAACAGGCGTTGGAGTGCTTGTAACAGCAGCTGCTGCTCAGCGCGAGACGAGCTGCAGAGAACGGCGTGGCTTTGCAGCGGGGCTCCTTG